TAGGATAAATTTTACATAACATATTCTTGTCCAAAATTAAAATATACTAGTATAGTATTTGTATAGGCAAGAACTAAGAAGATATACATACAAATATGAAAAATGTGAAAGAATATATAAACACTCGTGATTTATCATTATTCCTTCACAAATAGATAATTGTTACACTTATATTATCGTTTAGATTTTTAAAATCCTTCAAACCCTCATGAATAATGTTTTTTATTTGAGGGCAAAATTAATAAAATTAATAATAATTATTGTAGAAGTGTAAAAAATGTAAAAAAATATATATACAATCACTCGTATATAAAAAATGTAAATACTTTAAATTAAAGATCAAATTTATTCATTACATTCTTATAGGGTCGAGGAGTGTATATGTACAAAATCATCAAAATCAGAGCTAAACTAACCGTTACATTGTGATTTTTCGTTTATAACCGTCGAAAACTTTTGTTCCGTTACGTAATCTCTGAATGTTTGTTTTTTATGATTTTTTACGTTTGCAATCTCGGAATGTGTACGAATAAGTTTGACGGTTGGATCGTTGAAAAAAGTTTCGTAGAATGCATATTGCATCAAAACGGTAGATTAAACAAACACTTAGAGTTAATATTATACTTCTATTAAGTATAAAATAAGTTTTTGTGGTATCCACTAGTGTAAATACTTTAAATTAAAGATCAAATTTATTTATTACATTCTTATAGGGTCGAGGAGTGTATATGTAAAAATCATCAAAATCGGAGCTAAAATAACCGTTAAATTGTGATTTTTCGTTTATAACCGTTGATAACTTTTGTTCCGTTACGTAATCTCTGAATGTTTGTTTTTTACGATTTTTTACGTATGCAATCTTGGAATGTGTACAAATAAGTTTGACGGTTGGATCGTTAAAAAAAGTTTCGTAGAATGCATATTGCGTCAAAATAGTAGATTAAACAAACACTTAAAGTTAATATTATACTTCTATTAAGTATAAAAAAAGATTTTGTGGTATCCACTAGTGTAAATACTTTAAATTAAAGATCAAATTTATTCATTACATTCTTATAGGGTCCAGGAGTGTATCTGTAAAAAATCATCAAAATCAGAGCTAAAATAACCGTTAAATTGTGATTTTTCGTTTATAATCGTCAAAAACTTTTGTTCCGTTACGTAATCTCTGAATGTTTGTTTTTTACGATTTTTTACGTATGCGATCTCGGAATGTGTACAAATAAGTTTGACAGTTGGATCGTTGAAAAAAGTTTCGTAAAATGCATATTGCGTCAAAACAGTAGATTAAACAAACACTTAGAGTTAATATTATACTTCTATCAAGTATAAAATAAGTTTTTGTGGTATCCACTAGTGTAAATACTTTAAATTAAAGATCAAATTTATTCATTACATTCTTATAGGGTCAAGGAGTGTATCTGTAAAAAATCATCAAAATTGGAGCTAAAATAACCGTTAAATTGTGATTTTTTGTTTATAACCGTCGAAAACTTTTGTTCCGTTACATAATCTCTGAATCTTTATTTTTTATGATTTTTTACGTATGCAATCTCGGAATGTGTACAAATAATTTTGATGGTTGGATCGTTGAAAAAAGTTTCGTAGAATGCATTTTGCGTCAAAACGGTAGATTAAACAAACACTTAGAGTTAATATTATACTTATATTAAGTATAAAATAAGTTTTTGTGGTATCCACTAGTGTAAATACTTTAAATTAAAGATCAAATTTATTCATTACATTTTATAGGGTCGAGGAGTGTATCTGTAAAAAATCATCAAAATCGGAGTTAAAATAACCGTTAAATTGTGATTTTTTGTTTATAACCGTCGATAACTTTTGTTCCATTACGTAATCTTTGAATGTTTGTTTTCTACGATTTTTTACGTATGAAATCTTGGAATGCGTACAAATAAGTTTGATGGTTGGATCGTTAAAAAAAGTTTCGTAGAATGCATATTGCGTCAAAATAGTAGATTAAACAAACACTTAAAGTTAATATTATACTTCTATTAAGTATAAAAAAGATTTTGTGGTATCCACTAGTGTAAATACTTTAAAGTAAAGATCAAATTTATTCATTACATTCTTATAGGGTCGAGGAGTGTATCTGTAAAAAATCATCAAAATCGAAGCTAAAATAACCGTTAAATTGTGATTTTTCGTTTATAACCGTCGAAAACTTTTGTTCCGTTACTTAATCTCTGAATGTTTGTTTTTTACGATTTTTTACGTATGCGATCTGGGAATGTGTACAAATAAGTTTGACGGTTGGATCGTTGAAAAAAGTTTCGTAGAATGCATATTGCGTCAAAACAGTAGATTAAACAAACACTTAGAGTTAATATTATACTTCTATTAAGTATAAAATAAGTTTTTGTGGTATCCACTAGTGTAAATACTTTAAATTAAAGATCAAATTTATTCATTACATTCTTATAGGGTCCAGGAGTGTATCTGTAAAAAATCATCAAAATTATAGCTAAAATAACCGTTAAATTGTGATTTTTCGTTTATAATCGTCGATAACTTTTGTTCCGTTACCTAATCTCTGAATCTTTATTTTTTATGATTTTTTACATATGCAATCTCGGAATGTGTACAAATAATTTTGATGGTTGGATCATTGAAAAAAGTTTCGTAGATGGTAGATTAAACAAACACTTAGAATTAATATTATACTTATATTAAGTATAAAATAAGTTTTTGTGGTATCCACTAGTGTAAATACTTTAAATTAAAGATCAAATTTATTCATTACATTCTTATAGGGTCGAGGAGTGTATCTGTAAAAAATCATCAAAATCGGAGTTAAAATAACTGTTAAATTGTGATTTTTTGTTTATAACCGTCGATAACTTTTGTTCCGTTACTTAATATCTGAATGTTTGTTTTCTACGATTTTTTACGTATGAAATCTTGGAATGTTTACAAATAAGTTTGACGGTTGGATCGTTAAAAAACGTTTCATAGAATGCATATTGCGTCAAAATAGTAGATTAAACAAACACTTAAAGTTAATATTATACTTCTATTAAGTCTAAAAACGATTTTGTGGTATCCACTAGTGTAAATACTTTAAATTAAAGATCAAATTTATTCATTACATTCTTATAGGGTCGAGGAGTGTATTTGTAAAAAATCATCAAAATCGGAGCTAAAATAACCGTTAAATTGTGATTTTTCGTTTATAACCGTCGAAAACTTTTGTTCCGTTACGTAATCTCTGAATGTTTGTTTTTTACGATTTTTTATGTATGCGATCTCGGAATGTGTACAAATAAGTTTGACGGTTGGATCGTTGAAAAAAGTTTCGTAGAATGCATATTGCGTCAAAACAGTAGATTAAACAAACACTTAGAGTTAATATTATACTTCTATTAAGTATAAAATAAGTTTTTGTGGTATCTACTAGTGTAAATACTTTAAATTAAAGATCAAATTTATTCATTACATTCTTATAGGGTCGAGGAGTGTATCTGTAAAAAATCATCAAAATCGGAGCTAAAATAACCGTTAAATTGTGATTTTTCGTTTATAACCGTCGAAAACTTTTGTTCCGTTACGTAATCTCTGAATGTTTGTTTTTTATGATTTTTTATGTATGTGATCTCGGAATGTGTACAAATAAGTTTGACGGTTTGATCGTTGAAAAAAGTTTCGTAGAATGCATATTGCGTCAAAACAGTAGATTAAACAAACGCTTAGAGTTAATATTATACTTCTATTAAGTATAAAATAAGTTTTTGTGGTATCTACTAGTGTAAATACTTTAAATTAAAGATCAAATTTATTCATTACATTCTTATAGGGTCGAGGAGTGTATCTGTAAAAAAATCATCAAAATTGGAGCTAAAATAACCGTTAAATTGTGATTTTTCGTTTATAATCGTCGATAACTTTTGTTCCGTTACGTAATCTCTGAATGTTCGTTTTTTTTACAATTTTTTACGTAAGCAATCTTGGAATGTGTACAAATAAGTTTGACGGTTGGATCGTTGAAAAAAGCTTGTCATTACGAGTGTTTATATATTTTTTCTATATTTTTTTACACTTCTACATTAATTAAAAAACTATTAAAGACTTTAGGTAAGCGAAAATATACTTAAAACAAAATTGCGTTTTTATGTTTTGGATGTGATAATATGGAATGTATATACTTATTTAGTATTATGTTTTTCATTTGATTATTTATTGGTTTAAAATATATTTTCCTTAACGGGTAACGGGTCGGGTCATATTACCTGTTAATATTATCGGGTCGATTTCGGGTCGGGTCATTTTACCCGTTTATTTTAACGGGTGTTACCCGACACGACCCGTTAAGATATCGGATATGACACGAAAACGACACGAACACGGAAAACACGACACGAATGCCAGGTCTAATGGCATTGGTATTTTGTGCTTTACCCAAAAAAGAAAGGATCAAAGTTATTATCCTGAAAAGAAATAAAATAAAGTAGTTTTTTAAATGTATTTTTTATATAAGAATACATTATTTGTTTTTGTTAAGATTTTTTTAAAAGAATAAGAGTACAATATGATTGAAAAAATAGCATTACAAATACATATCATAAAGAATCGAATTCTAAAAGATCCTCACAAACTAGATCTAAAACATATTATAATAAAGCATCACCAATCAAAACATTTAAAAAATGAAGATTTTTAAATGAAAAGTAAATTATAAGGCCTTCAGGTACCATTTGGATGGGACGGAACGGAGATTCCGTGTTATGTTTGGTATGCGTAGGACGGAACAGGACGATTGTTCCGTTCTTTGTTTGGTACGCATTGGACGGAATGGAACCAAAAGATTGAATGACTAACTTACCTCTGTTCTGTCTTTTGTTTGGTACAATGTTATGCGTGGGACAGGACGAGACAATTTTTTTTTTTGAACTTGTTCATATTTGAACACATAACAATACCATGATTAACTTTTGGAGATTGCAGAAGAAGCAAAACGTGGCAGGGAATTTAGAGAGAAAAAGTGAATGACTAAAGATTGTATTTCTTAAACAATGAATGAATTACAAAGAGAGGCGTTTGGTATTTATACAAGTATTCTTTGCTTCACTCATACGCTACTAACCAACTAACTTATATCCCTACAATCCCAACAAACCTAATGTGCTGCAACAACATACATGGAGACCTATAAAATGAAAAGCAAAGAGCATTGGTAAGTAATAATAAAACAGAAAAACTACACAAATCACAATCATAAAAGTCTGCTTCCATTTCCCTTTCAAACTAGTCTCCAAAGCTCTTTCATATTGCCTAAAGAACAATGGTAATGTGGTCTGTTGATTCACATAACCTTCAAAAAAGGAGCCATAGTACTCTTGATTGGGAGATATATCAGCAAAAAAGGAATCTCGGAAATACACAGGTACCCATTGAGCGTGAGGATTGTATAATGATTGAAGCTAATCATTTCTCTACCATTCCATGATGCACCATTCCTCGACATCAATCGCTTCAACATCCAAACTAAACTCATTGTGTAATGCTAAAGAATACAATTATCTTTCGAGCTAATAAAATAGCAGTGCACCATGTGTTATCTAATGATACAACAACTTTTAAGTTGTTGAGTTGTTAACACGATTAGAAATCTTCTGCACGAATTCTAGTACCATGTCAGTCTAATAGTCATTCCCAGAAATAGTTAGATAGTTGAAGCATCTAAGCTCTCAAAAGTCACATACAACTTTCACTATATTCTTAATGAATGCAACAAATTTCTCAAACAAAAACAAAAACAATAAGATATTACCTGCAATTGTATATTGTAGCCATCAATGGTTCAAATAACTAGTTAAGGCAAATAAATGTATAGTCTACGAGTTCAAGTTGAAGCATATAAGCTCACTAAACATGCAACTTCCACAAATGGGGGTAAGGCTAGCCGACATTCACCTCTCCTAGACCCTGCGTAAAGCGGGAGCCTTGTGCACTGGGTACGACCTTTATTCAGGCAATTTTTCAAACACAAAGCAAACAACCAGACATGGAGGCTTAGGATTGTACCCGCAGCGGACCCATTAGACGAGTGAGATGAAGTAGCCATAAGCATCGGCTTTGGAGCCACAACCGAAGGTGTAGAGACTGCGGGGCTTCCGCCGGCATTGTAAGTGTTCATCACGCTCAGCAAACTCTTCGGCGCCTGCAAAAAAAAAGAAAAAACCCAAATCCCAAATCAGACAAATAAGAAATCTTTCAAACCAATTTCAAACAAATCATCGGGAAAAACCAAGTGGGTATCTCTCGAATCGGCAATTTGGCGATGATGGACGAAGCTTCAGTTCTGAAAAAAGAGCGAGTAACCAAGTAGTTGTTGTCGCAGAGGTATCGGTTGATGATGAAGGCGATTTGGACGAGGGGTGACCATTCCCTTCCCTAAATTCTTAGATTTCTTGCCTTTGGATGGCTTCCCCATTTTTTGAATATTGAGAGATGCTGTGGAAAACTAGGGCTCGGATGGAAGGGATGAGGAAGAAGATGGAGACGGAGAGATTGAGATATGAGGAAAGAAATAATGGGAGAGGGGCATTTTTATCTTAAAATGTTATAATTTTGTGTTCTATGGACGTGGAACGAGTCGTTCCAGGGGGTAAGGCGGAACGAAAATTCACCCAAGCACGTTCCACCCATTTTAGGAGCATCAAACGTGGGATGAAACGCCTCTCAAGTACCGTTTGGTATGTGGGACGGGACGGGACGGAACAGGACGAGCCGTTCCGTCCCACGTTTGGTGCACCTAAAATCTGTGAAACGGGTTGTCCCATGGGACGAAATTTGGCTAATTTTTCGTTCCACCTCTTCCCCCTGGAACGATCCGTTCCACATTCGTGGAACACAAATTTATAACATTTTATGACAAAATTTCTCCTTATCTTTTTCAATATTTACATCATCCGTTCCATCTTGTTTCGTCCCGTCCCGTCCCGTCCTGTTCCGTCCCGTCCCGTCCCGTCCTGTTCCGTCCCATCTGCGTACCAAACGGTACCTCAAGGAACTAGTAAACATTAGAGCCTCCCCAGCAAAAGTTGGGCAGTATATAATTCAACCTGCATTAGAGGATAAGCTATGCCCATAATTGTATTGTTTTGCTTTGTGTACATGAGAAATGTTGAGGAGACTCTCTTAAAAGTATGACTCTTTATATAAATTTTTGTCACTTTATATTTTTGACAATATTTTTGACACTAAAATTGATACTAAACTGTAAGCTGGTAAAGAGTCCATAGAGACTCCCTCTTTGAGAGTCTCCTTAGCATATCTCTTGCGTACATATATTCAAGTCATGGACTCGGTTGTACAAGGATATAATTACAAATAGGAGTTAAGTTCCTAACCCTAACACAAAAATTGTTAGAAATGAATATCTTGAAGTGGGCTCTGGAGCCTCCTTGAGATGGAACATGATTTAAGAAACTATAAGAAACTTGATATTATGTCATTGGCACTAAACTTGTTACCACTTTCACAAGATCACGCTTTGGTAATCCTTAATGAAACTTATACACATCAGAAATGGCTTCATGCCTCGACAACTTCTCATGAAAATTAGCAATTATAACATAGTGAGTGTAGATTTGAAGAAAGCAGTTTCTCAATTCATCAAGAAATTTCGTCCAACTATTAGCTTGCAAGATTGCACTAGACAACTGCATCCAGTTCGGACTTGATCTTGAAACCCAGATGATACAGATTAGAACTAATAAACAATTCAACTCTAAAATCACATATTCACACCATAATTTCTAAGGCCCAGAAGTTATCAACAATTTATGAGCAAACCCAGATAAAAATGAACCTAAATATTACAGAATTATGACAGAAACAGTGAAGATCTTAATGGTAGTTCTTAAATTTCTTCAAAACAAGTTATATAAGTGTTGATAGGGTTGGTACCAATTTGAGAATTGAATTGGGTAATGCATAAGACAAAATAAATTAAGAGGCAATAGAAACTAATGAAAAATACAACAAAAAGGGGGGTGAAGTACCAATTTAGTCCCTGAACTATCACCTTAGTGAAAATTAGGTCCCTAAATTATTTTTTCAGTAAAATAAGTTCCTAAATTCATTAAAAATTGTTAATTTCATCCATACTATTATATTAATTTTTTTGGTCGATTACCCTTCAAAGTTAACTCCATACACTCTTTCTTTATGTAAAATTACCAATCTACCCTCCAATGTGTATCACATGCAAGTAAAGTGACTTAAATTGATGGAAAATTGGAATAGTAGCTTCGAATATAATATTAGGGATGTAATTGGCAGATTTTTATAATTTAATAACTGATTTTTCTTAAAAAAATAGTTTAGAAACCTAATTTTTATTCATGTGATAATTCAAAAACTAAATTAGCAGTTCACCCCCAAAAAAGGTAACGACCATCAAGATATCCTGGTGGCTCTAGAATCATATTAACTACATTATATTGAATGAAGAAATACAAAATTGATTATAAATATCAGATGAGAAAAGAAATTTAATTAACTATCATACTAGTAAATTATACAAGCAATGCCGAACTAACTATGACTAACGTTTTATTTTTTACATCTAATTTAGAAAATTAAATTAAAACCTAGGCAATCATACATTATGAACATAACGATTCAATATTCCAGCAGATAGAATCATACATTATCATTTAACAATGTTTAAGAAAATAAATAAATCAAAGTATGTATTTTTTAAACCCAAAAGATAGCAATTCAATAATTCAAATTTTCAGCAATTCAATATTCCACCTGAGATGCTCACGAATGTGGTGGTGGACTTGCAGTCTATGGTGGAATGATGTTAGGCCCCAGCAAACGGGCTGGTTATTAGGCCAAATTTGGCCAGCCTGATGTTCTGACTTTATGAACTTCACTAAATTTTAGCCCAGCTTTCAAATGGAGACGATTTTGTTTAAATCAAGCCATATTTTGGCACTTTAGCCTTTTAACACTCTTCATTGAAGATTGATTAAAAGGTTAGGCCATCTCCAATCTGGCCGGTCATAAAGCTATAAACCAAATGATAGACCTTTTTTGACACAAAATCCATCTCCTATAGAGGTTTGAGCCAAAAAAACATTAGAACCCACATGCCCAAAATCCAGCCATATGGTCGGCGAGCTGGCCATCCTTAGCCAGCCAGCCCGTTTAGTTGGGCCTAGTTGGAATTTTTTTTTTAAGATGACATTTAAAAAAATTTAAAAATTCTAATTTTTTTCCTATAAATACCTAAGATATTTCTACACTATTTTTCAAATCCTTTTCATCCTTTCATACTATTTTACCTCATTTTATTTCAATTCTTCACATTTTTTTCACCTCAAACACTCTTCATACACACCCCTCTCTTATCTCTTCCAATAATCTTTCCTTTAATTTTTTCAATAATTTTTAAACAGCCACATCTTCAAGTGACACTCAAAATATGTCTGGAAACCTTATTTTAATATTGTAGTTTAATTCAATTAACCAATAAAATTAAAGAACAAACTTAAAATAATAAATTATTGAAGGGGCTAAAAAATAGTCTCATTCAGTTGAAGATGATATATAAATATGGTTTGAGACTGTTCATTAAAAAATAATTTATTGTACGGCTATAATCTGGACGGAAGCTAAACATAATCCCTTCGGTTAGAGATGTGTATAGAATGAGGATCCTCTCTGATCCTCTTTGTGAGAATCTCGTAGATCCTCACATTGTGTTCGTTCATCGTATATCATGCAGTCATAAATAATTTTAAATAATTTTATATAAAATTAAACACAAACAGTACCTGACGAAAACTGACCGTACGATATACGATAAACAGACATGATGTGAAGATCCCTAGGATCCTCACAAAGAGGATCCTTTCGTATGTATAAATATGTAATCCCAACAAACTTGTCCTTGTCATTTGTATGGTAAGGAATGAATCTTAGTACTGAAATTGGACCCAAATGTTGAAAACTAACTGGAAGGGACTCTCAACTAATTTTTATTTGATAAAAGAAGATAAGTATTTTGACGTTAGCAATCTAATTAACGTATTAAACTAAGCCCTAATAAGAAAGAGGTATCTGTTGTTATTCATATACATGATAGGAATTATGTCTCCTTCTTTAAAAATTTAGTTTAAAAGTTTAGTCTCTCTAACATTATTTTATATAAAATGACTAAATTCTAACCGGAAAATTTACAAGAGGGTCGACACGTGTACAAGCAAGAAAACGCATTGTCTCATGTGAAGACTTGGTCATTACTCATGAACTATATATTTGTGCAAGAATCATTTGGTAAATTTAGGCCATCTCCAACCGAAGGGTCTAGAGGGCCGAAAAACGCTTGAAAACCATCTCCAACCGAGGGATAGGCCAGAGGGCTCAGGGGTCCCACGAAATCTGAAAAGGCCAAAGGGCCAACTGGCTGGCCCAATCTAGCCAGCCAGCCAGTCAGCCCCGAGCTGGGCTAGAAATTTGAGCATTCTTGTCGGATATAATAGACAACAATATAACATATTCCTGTCGGTTATATCCGACATGAATGCTAGGTCAAAAATTTAAATACAACAGCTAGCTGTCGTTAGTTAGCAATTATTTTTTATTTTTTTTACAATTTTATTATTATTATTTTTTTTACAAATTGTTTTCCCTGTAACTTCCTATAACTTCTATTTTACAAAATTTGTTTCATATATTTTTTTTTAAATTCTATTTTTTTCCTATAACTTCCTAAGCCATTATACAACATTAAATTAAATTAAGTAACATGAAACAACATTAAACAATATGAAACAACATTAAATAACATTAACCAATTTGTAGTTTTTAAATTTAATTTGTAGTTTTTAAACATAAGTTGTAATTTTTTAAATTTAAGTTGTTGTAGTTTTTAAATTTAAATAATAAATTATGTTTGGCCCTATGTGTAACATCTCATATCGCCAAGGGGAGTGGATCCTATAAGCTTTATATGTATATTCCCATCTCTACCTAGCACGAGACCTTTTGGGAGCTCATTGGCTTCGGGTTCCATCAGAATTCCGAAGCTAAGCAAGTTCGCGCGAGAGCAATCCCATGATGGGTGACCCACTGGGAAGTTCTCGTGTGAGTTCCCAAAAACAAAACCGTGAGGGCGTGGTCGGGGCCCAAAACGGACA